GGGGGGGAGGGGGAGGGCCGTGATGGTGGCCGTTGTGGGGGTGAGGGCGGCGGTGGTCGAAGGGGCCGAGGTGTTCCTGGTCATCATGGGGAGGAGGACCCGGAGGAGGAGGAGGGCCTGGGGGACCGTGGTGGCCATCGAAGGGAGGAGGCGGGCCGGGAGGAGGGGGAGGTCCAGGAGGTCCATGGTGATCGAACGGAGGGGGAGGAGGAGGAGGAGGAGGGGGTCCCGGGGGGCTGTGGTGTCCGTGGCGGGGAGGCTCATCGAATGGTGGCGGGGGAGGAGGAGGAGGGCCATGGCCATGGGGAGGACCGCGAGGGGGCTCATCGAAGTGACCGCCGGGACCATGGTGAGGCGGCTCGTCAAACGGAGGGGGAGGTCCGTGGTGGGGAGGCTCACCCTCATGGGGAGGCGGAGCGCAGTGACAGAAGCCCGGAGGCGGGGGAGGCAGAGTGTGGTTTCCGTGGGTGTGGTTTCCGTGCTCGGGGGGGGCACCGCACATCGGGGGCGGGCCGCCGTGGTGGCTGTGACGGCCGTGAGGACCGCGGTGACGACCGCCGCCGAAGCCGTGGAACCCACCGCGGAAACCGCCACCGACGCGGTGCATCAAGGTGTCGAGGACACACTTGAGGGAGTCGCACTCGCGAAGGGCGTGGCGGTGGGGACGGATGCCGTGCTCGTGGGTCAGACGAGACTCCTTCTCGTGGATGAGGTGCTTCAGGGCATGAAGCTGGTGGTGCAGGCAGTCCAACTCGCGGAGCTCGGCCTCGGCTTCCTCGGAAATGTGGTGGGGAGGAGGGCGGCGAGAGGGCGGGTGGTGAGGACCATCTTCCTTGGGAGGGTGGTGGTCGCCCTCGCGGTGGTTGCCGACGTGGTGGTGAGGCGGAGGGGGGAAAGGCGGGTCCTCAAGGAGACCGTCCTCGTCGTCGCCGGGGCGGGGCTTGTGGCCGGCCCACTCGGGGAGGGACGGCGTTTCGGGGCGGGAGTCGGAGACGCGGACGGGGCCTGCGACTTCGATGATTGCCGCGGGGCTGGTCTGGCGGAAGCGGGCGACGAAGCCGACCTCGGAGGCCAGGGAGCGGCCGGCGAGGGACTCGAGGTTGAAGCGGAGGAGTTGTTCATCTCCGGCGCAGGTGGCGGTCCAGGAGGCGATGAAGGTGGAGCCATCGTGGTCGCCGGCGAAGGTGCCGCGGCCGAGGGTGTGGCCGCCCTGGGAGAGGGCGTTGTCGTTTACCTTGATGTTGGGGTAAGCGCAAGGGGAGGGTGCTTCGAGGACCTCCAGGTGAAGGGTCTGGTTGTGTTTGTTAGTCGACGCATGAATCATTTCTATGAGAGGCGATTCTTACGTAGGGCTGAGGCTTGTCCTCGTTGAAGCCTGGAGGAATGTCGAAAGTGACAAAGGTCGAGGGAGAGGCATCTTCTGAGGAATGTTAATCTTCACTGTCTACTGCTTGCGGGTGAGATGAGAAACCCACCCTTGACCTTCTCACTGATCCTCGAAGGAGCGGCTCCGACCAGGGCCGGGGCGAGCAGGAGAGCTTGCGCGAGGCCGCGCATGATGGGCGACTTTAAACCGGTGATGAGAATTGGATGTCGGTATCGATGAAGGGTATCTTCCGGCCCCGGTATCCTTCAGTTTCCGGGCGGGCCTCGTATGTCGAGGGAAGTCTCTGCCTAGAGAACTGTCGTGAAGTGGTCCGGTTTGAAGTGAGGCGAGGTATGGAACAAGCTGGAAATCGGGTCGAGGAGGACAAGACCAGTATGATAAATGGCTGCCTGGGTTGCGTACGTATGTCGGTCGTCGAGGTGGTGTGCGTGGTGTGGCTTTTTGGTCTTACACCGAGACTAAGAGTCTCATCCACGCTATCTCTTCTTTTGACTTGGACCCAACCAAAACGGAAAGAAACGAAACGAAAAGAAAACGAGTGAGGGTATTCACACTTTCACCCAAGTTGAGGAAGTTGATACGTTGGAATGAAGGGAAAAAAGAGAGAAAGAGAGAGGATTCAGTCGCAAAATGAGAAAGAGACTGACTGAGAAGGAAAGGACCACGCGTCCCTCATAGTAAACACTGCCACTCCTCCATTCGCACTTGCCCTGCGCCGGTAGAGTGGGCAGTGGGCAGTGGGCAGTGGGCACATTCACCCCCAAGGAAGGACCGTCAGGGACATTGGGGCTGCGCAATCCTCTCGCCGTAGCTGGACCTCTTTCCGCCGCGTGGCCAATCAGCGCCGACGAGCTGACGAGTCCTGCTCAATGGCCTGTGCGCCGATACTCTCCACTATTCCCCCCGTCTCCCGGCCGGTACGGGACCAACAGCCCTCTCTGACCAATGAAAACGGCCTCAGAGGGCTAAGCACCGGACGTGGGGTGGGCTGGTGGGGTTGATACGATGGATCGACTGTTTCTTTTTAGGGGGTCACCACAGGTGTTGGCTCCCGTGAAAGGGTAAGTGCGAATGCCTGAATGAGATTGAGGTGAGAATCCGGGACGTGGGGTGACGCTAACTCCCGGGACCCTCTTTCTATCAATTACGGATATCGCGACACGGCAGGGAGGCAATCAATGAATTCGGCACCGCTGCCGCTTGCTTGCTGCTGCTGCTGCTGCTGCTGCTGCATATGTACATGTATCCCATATGCACACTTGACGGCCGGCCTCGCCGTTTCGGGCCATGCTGGTCTCTGAATAGATGACTGGTCCTGGTACCTCGATCCACGCCTAGGTACCGCGACGGGCATGTCTGGTGGATCCCGTGAGTGGCCAAGCCCTTGGTTCGTTCCAACATCTCTCGCCCACCCCGGCTAGCGACTCACTCGTTGGAGTATCGCTAAAAAAGAGCGTTGTGGTTTGAGACTGGGAACTGCATGGTTGATGGAGGAAGAACTTTAGAAGAAGAGGCTCATTAACCTATCATTAAGCAATACACTAACTCCTCCCGAAGAGGAGCCCCTAAGAAGGAGTTTACAATCAATCCTACGCACTTCGCTTCTACAATGGAACTTGGTGGGAATCTCAATCACCTCGGGACACGCCAAACACCTCGCAGAACGACAACCCGAAAGCAGAGTCCCGGCCGTCTACGAAATACGCAGTAAATCAAAGCAGACGTCTCGTCCCGCGCAACTCGCCAAAATGCCTACTTCTCCACAACATCTCACAAAATCTCCCGGCGTCACTGTCACAGAAGATCCTTCAACACCTGCACCCGGGCTCGAGCCACGTCGGACCCCTGGTCGCCCTCGCCCATCAACTCCATGATTTGAATCATGCGCGCTGTGACAGTCCAACGTCAGCCAAATATCCCCGCCACAATCACACACGCAAACACAAGACGCGGAAACACTTACATATGTCAGCCCTGGCCCTTACGAACAGCGGGTCCCGCTCCGCCGCCTCCACCGCGACCGGGTCCTTGGCCGTCTCCCGGAGCACGCTTCCGATGCATAGCGCCTCCAGGAAGGCCCGGTGGTTGAAGACCCACCACACCCGCGCCTCGAGTTCAAAGATGTTGAACAGCAGGAAGAACGAGTTGATGGCTTCGTGCGCCGCTTCGAGCGTCCCCCGCACATTAACCGGCACATCGGGGCTTTCCGATGCGTGCACCAGCATGATGTTGTGGTGGTAGTTGCTCGTCAGAAACAGCGTCTGACGGACAACGCGCTTGTTCGTCCTCGACAGCGCTGTGAGGCTGTCCGAGTCCCACGACCGGAACACGTCCGGGAACGAGCGGTAGACGGCGCGGAAGTCGGCGACCAGTTTAGACTTGTGCCGCGCCGTGGTGCAGATGGGCATGTCGAGCGAGCGTGGCGAGCAAATCGTTTCTTGTACGAGGTTGGCGAGCGTCCAGGAGCCGCGGATGTAGGCGATGTCGGTCGGGTCGCTTGCGGCGATTGCCGAACCGTCGTCGAGGAGGTCTTCGACAGAGACGTCGGTGTGAGTCGCCGACGGGGGCAGAGAAACAAGAACTGTGAGAAAGGTATCCTGGAGAAGGACGGCTTGCCAGACTTTTCGGCGCTGTTGCTTTTCAAAGATACTCGCATCGGGGGTCACTGTCGAGCTTTAGCATTATTCAACAGATGATGAAGAAAAGGATCATACCAATGTTGGGATCACGATGCAGGCCCATGGCGTAGGCCTGGCGTATGAGTATTCCTGCAAATGCCCATCCATCTGAAGCATGGTTGTCGTTGATCAAAAAGTAAGTTAACCTGTCTCGTCAGCATCATATCCCCAAAGCCGGTCGGTCCACGATCAAACACTTACAGCACCATGGCTTGAATAGATCGTAATGAAGCAGCACTCAGATACGAAGACAGGCGCAGCGCCTGGTTACTTGCCGACGCATAAAACTCGGCCGTCTGCTTTCCGTCCCTCGGCGACGTCGACGTCACAAACTGCGTCCCCAGCGCCAGCATCACGAAAATAAGTCCGACAAAGGCCGCATCGACACGGTTCTTCTCCTCGTTCCCGAGGCTCCAAAAGTGCTCGTAGTCGGCATAGAACGTCTGCCGGTGCATCATGGGATACACCGGGTCGACGCACTCGAAGTACTGCGCCAGCAGGATGTCGGCCTGGATCTTGTCCGGCAGGACCGAGATAACCTCGGGTAGACCGCCCTCGCAGGTCCAGTAGTTGGCGAATGGGTGCTCGGAGCCGATACCGAAGACATTGCTGGCCGTCGGTAGGGAATAGGGCACATTGGACAAGAGGCCGGTCGAGGAGGAGAATCCGATGGAACCTACCGAACCGCGAGAAGTGAAACCGCGTCCTTCGATGAGACCCCTGTCGGCGATGTTTGGGATCGTGTTGACATCTGAGGGCTTCTTCTTCGGTGGTTTGGTCATCCGCCGGCCATTTGTGGCCGACCTCGTCGTTTCCCTGAGATAGTCAGCGTCGCAAGTCTTTCCGGTCCAGCTCAGACCCAACTTACTCGAGGAGGTTTGCGACGTGAGCATACTTGCACTCTGTCTGACGCTTGATGCAAGCCAGGCAATGCGGCCTGCCCCGGTCACACTATTTGATACGTTAGCACTCCATGTCATGACTTGCAGTCCCTCACATGAGATGGCTGAGTAATCCTCTTTGGTTGACTGTCATGCGCGACAGCCGGGGATCTGTAAGATTGAACAGAGTTCTAGAAGCGTGTATGCCACGTGCTGTGAGAATGACTCTCGCGACGCCCGTCTACTCTAAATAGTAGCAGACAGGTTGACGGACGGCCAGGCCCAGACTTTGTGCCAGCATCGGCGCGGCTCCGCGAGCCACGGTGGACCATGAAGGTCCTTGGTGCGGGGGAAGCGAGAGCCGGGACGCGAACGCGAGGTCGGGCTTGACGGGATCGGGGGCAGAAAGAAGAGAGTCAAGAATCGCGGGGAGGGCTGAAAAAACAAAATCAAACGTCAATGCGAACGAACCTTGGTCTTGCGCTCGACGCACTCGTGACATGACAGGGTTGGTTTGTTGCGCTTCTGCTTCTTCTTAGGAGGCTCGTCGGAGTTTTGCTGGCCGTCGGGGCTTGCCGAGTTCCCGTCGACGCTCTCCTCCGTCTTGATGATGTGGTACGGGTAGGACTGGGACGGCGCTGCTGTTGCTGACGAAGACGATGGTGTTGCGCTTGGTGGTGGAAGTCCGTTTGATGTCGTTGTCGACGGCGGCGGCGGCAAGCGCTGATGTTCTGAAGCCGGCGATGCGTAGATTGTTGAGGCCGAGCTCGGCGTGAACGGTTGCGACTGCGACTGCTGTTGCTGTTGCTGCTGCTGCGGATGGTCTGGGGGAGCCATGGCAGCAGCTGGAGGCGGACGATGACGATGATTGCGGCGGCCGTCAATCAATTGATTCGACTCGGTCAATCAATCAATTGGTTTCCGCGATGGGCCGATCCTCTCGACAAAATGTCCGGCGCCGGTCGCCAATGTCGAACCAGCTGGATTTCTCCAGTTTCGCCGTCTGGGCACGCCGCGTTGTGGTGCCTCTCCCGACGTCGCCCTCCGGACGTGCTATCCCCGGGATACCGGATCGGGGGTTCGAGCTGATGGGACGTAAAATGAAATTGGAACGCTGGAAGCCGGCGTTCCGGGAATAAAAAAGCGAATTGGCAAACCACGGAGCGGCGCGGGCTTGGGTGCGCGTCTGCGGTGCGGTGCGGTGCACAACGTTCGGAATCGGAGGTCTTGGATCGCTGGGAATAAACAGGCGATTGCAGATGGGAACACCAGAAAAATTTGGGGTTTGCGCGGCGGGATTCCTTTGGGGGGGTTGGGAAAAAACGATGGGAATAAGGAGGGAGGAAAGGGACGGACTGAACGCGGAGGAGAATTGGAAACGTGAGAGGGAAAAAAAAGAGGGGAAAGGAATCCAGCCAGAGTGAAGTCACGTCCGCGTCGGCTTTGCCAGTTCAGGAACTCCTGTCTCCAGGTCCAGAACAGAACAGAATACCAGCCAAACCCACGCAGCAACTATGTAACAACTACCTCAATAACAGTAACAGACGGAATCATCCGAAGGAAGACAAGGTCAAGGTGAAGGGAAAAGAGGCAAGAATCTGCAGACGATAGAAGGACGCCAACAGCCTTCCTCAGACATTGGATCGCCTAGCATCGGATCCCAATCCCTTCACCAAGGTATCCGTTTCGTTTCGTACAGCCACGACGCCACCAGTCATGAACTACCAAATCTTCAATGCCAGACCGTGCTGTGCCTCCACGGTTCACGACCGTCAAAACCACCAACTGCGCCTTCCACTGATTCACTGAATCATCAGCCTCCACGCAGACAAAAAGACAGACAAGAAACCCCCTCTCGAGTCATCCATCAATGGCCGAGGTCAACTGCCGGCCGGTCAACGGCATGGCTGGACTGCTGGGGTCTCAATCTTGGTCTTTCCCCCATTCTGCATAGGCGATCAGGAGCCAGCCGCTAATCGCCGGGGGGAGGAACTACGCTTCTATCAATCAACCCGGGCAAGTATCGCCGTCCTGGCCCTGTTTGTGTCAAGGAAAGGTAGGTATCCGTAGCCAGCCAGACGGGACATGCTTCCTGGACGGACGTTGAAGGATTGTTCAGCCGGGACTGAGAAACCTGGCTTTGGGACGGCAGACTTGGCAAAGCTTTAAAAAGGGCTTTCATTTCATGTCCCCGAACAATTGGCTCGTTAGAAAGGCAGTGTTGGTTTGGGCGTTTTACCGCGGCTTGCTCCGCGTGGCTTTGGGCTTTTAAGACGCCGGATCGAACCTAGACACGTCTTATCCAGCTTTGCTTGCTTTCAAGCGTCAGTCGTCTCCGATATCATATCAAAGCAGTCTCTCGCCAGCAAAGAACAAAATGTCTTGCCTCCTGACGACAAGCATAGAAGCTTGCCTGCCGGCCGGCAATGCTCCTTCTCCAGGGTTTGCGCACTTCTACCCGCATCGACGTCACTAATGCAACGGAACTGCACCCCGAACTCCAAGCCTGCAGGCCCTCCAAACAAAACTCATTGCATCCATCTCACCAACTCCGTGTCACAAATCAACCCAGCTTCGGTTTCTCTCCTCCCACAAGGCTCCGGGCTCCCTCAAAAAACGCGCCCCCCGTCGGGAGACTGGTCGAGGCTCGCGTCTTCTCGGTCATTTGGCCGGCGCTTCACTCACCCCCCGCCGATATCGCCATGGGTCGGCCGCCTCCAGACCCACAACTCTGCAGCGTCTCCGACCCTCGCCCGCGCGCCATAGGCCGTCTCGCGAGCCGTTCCTGCATCAAATAATCCATCTGCGCCGATGGTTTAGTGGTAAAATTCTCCGTTGCCATCCAGCAGCGTCGGGGAGCCGGGGGTTCGATTCCCCCTCGGCGCATTTCTTTTGTTCTGACGTCAATGATACCGGAAGACATGTGTTTTTGAGATTCGAACCTTCTGTGTCGTCTATGCGGCCCAAATATGGTTGACAATGCGTTGTCTTTTTGACTCCTATCACATATGTAAAGACACAGCCCGCAGATAATGTTGAACTGCAAGTCTGTGTCTAGACCTGTCAACTCGGCATACCCTGTTCGTTTTCAAAGACTCAAACCAACATGGCTGCTGTCTGTTATCACGCAAAGCACTAATAGCTTGTTCGGAGACCTCGCCTGTTTTAGTCTATGCAATGCCTGTCTCGTGGTTTCTGGCAACCGACAGAGCTAACGAAGCTCAACTTCTAGATCGCTTCCTTGCCCACACAAGGTGCAAGTCCTCATGTGGTCAAGCAGAGCCTCAAATTGAAAGAGCCTGGCTTCATGAGATTTGCATGTGCTGACGAGAGTCAAGTCGTCCAATAGAAATGGTTCAAGCCTTCATACGCCTTAGACAATTGATATATATAAGTACTGGGTCCCCTGGATTCCTGGGTGACCTGGTCGACACAGTAAGCTGGACAACTTCCGGTTGTTCTCCAATTCATGAGTATCTATTGATGTACATGAGGTGATGAGCCACAAGGTCTCGGATCATTGCTGTATTCCAAAGTGCATCTGACGCGCTCAATACGTCAAGCATTCGTTGCTCCTAGTCTGTGTTGACGTGTAAGTATTTGTTCAATATACCATCAAGGGCGAAACGTACAGCATCCGGATCCTGTCTCGTGACCTAAGAAAGGCAAACTTCTTAGTCCTCTAATCCCAGATCTCAGTTTTCAAGTGGATTTCTGAACGAAATATGACCAACAAGTACAGTTTCTAGCGAGTTACATGCGCAGAACAATGTTGTGTCTTAATATATGAAGTCATCAGTACTATAGGAACTATTCACCCGCAGCTCCGTCTCAGTCGATCGAATCGGCTACATTTTGATAGGTCTTTCTGTGATGATTTTGCTTGCAGACAACTACATCTTTCAAACTCGTCGAATTCAGACATCATCGGCAGGGGCTCTAATTATGTCTAAAAAACACCTGATATCCTGGTGTGAAAGTTCTCAAAGCTCGCTACGTCCTAGCCTTGCCCTTGCTAGTCTCCCTCGTTTTCAGACCGAAGCAACAGATCGGCGGCAGACAGCAAGATATAAAAACTGCCTCTTCTTCTTTGAAGAAAAGCGGATACTGTGATCAGGCTTCTTTTCTCGCTCTACAGTCCGATGGTGCTGGTTGTTGGGTGGTGGCGCAATTAGGTGTATCAGCGATCTGCTAATGAGAAGGAGACCAGATATGACTGGGAGTGAAGAACATCTGGCTGTAAACTTCCGAACCTGAATACGTGAGGGAAACTGACGGACAGCAGGGTTCTACATCAAGGATCAAGAAAGATATCATCAACCTCGTTTCTGATTAACGATTGCATCTCCAACCTACTTGAGCTCTTGCGCGAAGTTGGATTCTGGAACTCAAGGACCAAGGCATTCTCAACATCGATCACTTCGAGGCTCTCCTGACGCAGTAGGAAGTTTATCAACTCATGACGATATAGCCTCGCTCCGCAGACAAGCCCCGTTTCGTTGCGGCGATGCCCGGCGCGGCGGGTTTTTGTTTTCATCTTGGTAGCAAGGCGGCAGGCAGGGTATTGAAGCTACAAATAGAGGAGACGAGGCAGACTGTGCTCGGCAACTCCTCGTTGTACGACCCACGACACCAGGCATCCATGGCTTCAGCTTTCGACGTTCTCCGAGACCACTTACCTGATCTCTTCGTACGACTTGGCTCAGCCGCAGAGGTGATGCATTGTGGTAAGATGGGAACACGAAGTTGCCCGGGCTGTCGCTATCAGAACCGCTTACAACAATCTCACACCGAAATCTCGCATATCTCTGTCTTGTCACACTACAAGCTGTTAGGCCAAATAAGCATCATGGAGATGAAAACGCGTAGATGCTCTCAGACCTGCAGCTACACGAAAAGAATGAGGCATATGCTAAGAGCACATGTTGCACTAGAAGACGATCAACGGCGAGGCAGACTCTGATATTGTAGTGGTGACAAGTCAGAAGATATGGTAGCCTTGCGAACCAGTCCGCTTGTTCGATCCTCAAATCCGATGAAGTGCTTCGTGTACTTAAAGCTGAACTCGCGACTCCCATGAGAACTCCAGAAACACACCAGCTATCTACTTCATCAACACACAGCCTTCCATCAAAGCTCAAACTCACTACCATGAAGCTTCCCACCCTTTCTCTCCTATTTCTCTGCGGCTTCGTCGCTCTCTGCGTCGCCGCACCAGCACCAACCCCCTCCCCATCCCCACCTTCGACCGAAGCACTCTCAACCAATCTCACCACCACCACCACCACTTTGACCCCGAAGCGAGGCGAGAACAACTGCTCCCCAACCGGCCCCAAACACTGCAACTTCTTCATCAAAACCTGGATGCCCATCCTGTCCGCGGGCTTCCAGCACCGCTGGAAAGTATTCGACCATACCTGCAAGCAGATCGGCGGCGAAGACGCTCTCCGGGTCGACCGCTCCGACTTTTCCCTCACGAGCCAGCTCCCCTACACCATCGAGCTCCACCTCTCCGGCGGCTTCAAACCGAGCGGTCACATTCTCTATGCGGGGGAGAAGGTCGACTTGAAGAAGATGTACTGCGAGGATTGCGGTTCGTTCCCGCTCTCGGCGGCACGGTGCTGCAGGACCGCGTTCAAATGCCGTGTTTAGAGTCAGTCATGGACCGCATGGTGGTGTTCGGTTACAAATGAGACCGATGGGCGTTGTGGTAACATATATGATGTTGAATCAAGTGTCAGAGGTGGAGCTCAGAGTGAAAGTGTCGGAAGGAGAGGGTGAATAAGACAGTTGGAATCATATCTAAAGATCTGTAGGAAACTTGCAACAACATTCTGTTTAAGAAGTTCGAAATGCTAAGATAATAAGATTCGTTATACACAGTGTATACCACTGCCATACTCTTCTCTTCGAGGCAAGTACTGCGCTATATCAGAACAATACTGCGTATCACTCGTGATAGCACTGAAACATCATGTCTGACGTGTAAACCTGCGCAATCTCTGTCTGTAACCCTCGTCGTCGGCCACGTATTCAATTTTTCGAATTAGTCAAGACTGAAACATGGAAAATATTAGTCAACTGGACTTAGTTCGCCACAAGAATCGAGGAACATGAGACCAAAGCGCGTTGTCTTGGACTCGCGAAAACACAATGCGAGCACCAGCAGACGGAATAATATTATGAGTGAGGATCCTTCTAGTAAAACCACGACTATCAATCGTACGGTCGTCCCGCTCGCAATCGAGCACACTTATGCTTCTTTTGAACCAGAGGAGCATTCCATAAAGTACATTAACTAATTCCATCTTCACACAGGAAACCAATCACGGTAACACTAAAGGAATCTAGACGCAGGGTAAACCCCAGGGGCGTGATCAAACACGAATAATAGTCGTAACAACGTCGTTGAATTGGTGGTCAACCAAAGAAACCTCAATACCATCGTCTTCGGACACCATCGTCGGCCTCATATTCGTCCGCTGCAATCATTCTCGCACACCTTGAAGTATCGGAGCTTTGAATGATAGGAAAGACAGAAAATCTCATCTCGGAGCTAAAACCGCATTAAGGACACGTTAGTTGCCAGCCTCCAAAAAGAGTTATCCAGAGGTATTAATATACTTCACGAGGTAAGCCTTCCACTATTCTCACCTCCCACCAAGCTTTGGATATGCTTCTCTGTCAATCAATCCGTAAAAAACGACATGATTCAAGAACGCTTGAATACCTTGTAATCCTGACACCGGTCCAGTTGAGTTGAGCTCTCCACGGAAACACACTCTGTAGAATTTTCAAGCTCTCACTCATTTCATTCCAAGAACCGCCGTACTACCTACAACGCCCCAACTCACTCTCCACCTGCCCACAAGACGAGTAAGCAAACCTCCCCAGTCATCTTCAGAAGAGAGTCCGGAAGCGCAGCAAATGTGTCGTCGAAGCTTCCATTTGTGAAAGTGTCAGCGACCTTGAATCACTCCTATAACGACGGAATCAGCGACGGCATCGCGGTCCGTGACGGACATATTCGACCCGGGGAGTCGAGGCCGGAGCTCGCTCGTATATACACCAACCTTGGTCGTCAGTCTCGCCTGGGGTGTACGCCTTACACGAATATAGAAGGAAAACTTACTCATCCAACGCTTTCACCTCCCCTTATACATACACCTTAGGTGTAGAATATCCCCTCCCATCAACCCTGACAGCATCAACAGACCCTATGAGAGTAGCCGTACCCAAACAAACCCACTCCCCTCCATTGCGTGTTCTCAATCCTCCAGAGTCCCAAAGGGAGATATAGATACCCAGAAGTACAAAGACACCCAACAAAGCCTCGGAACCGCCCAAGCCCACACCAGCAAACCCCTAAGTCAAAACATCAAAGAAGCAGCTCCCGAAACCGTATCAACATGCGCAACAACCCCCAGCTCCTGCAAGCAGATCTGCTGCCACCGAATGGGATGTACCGTTCTCATCCGGAGCTGGAGTTACAAAGTGAACCCATTGCATTCAAATGTACCCCTTACATACGTCCCCCCGGACCCTATCAAGTCTCCATCCACAAGTTCAACAACGAAAATTCAGAATGGCAAGGACGCCGTCATGCATTGGCTTATGCTTGCTAGACGCGGAATTCGAGGGAATCAAGCGTTGATGCTCGCGAAATGGTCATATATGTAACAAGGAGGGCAAGTTCTTGAAAACCTACATTGAGGATAAAACCCTTTCACGAAATTGACGTGGACTTTGACGGGGTACCCAACAGCTGTCCGCTTCCGACAACAGGGATGAGCCACCTCTTTGTGACCTTTTCGAGGCGGTTTCGATTCCTCTACACGAGCCGGGAAGTAAGAGGTCCATCGCGGCCAGCCACATATTTCTTTAAACCATTCAGTCGTTGCCAAATCGCAATGCCTCATCTATCCCAAGACACAAAGATCATATAACCAACAAGAAAGAGGATAGATCCCAACTAGATGTAGGCAGCTAGCTCCTGGATGGAAACTAGCTGCTAACTCCAAGACGCAATGTCAACGCCGACTCGGTGGTTCTGATTCACGATGCTTGAGAGGTTGATAACGACATCCCGTCAACGGTCAATAGTGGTTGCTTCGCTTTGGAAACATGTCTTGACTACATGAGACCTGTAAACTACCTTACGGTCATGGTATGATTCATAAAGGGGCGGATTGAATCATATTCGCACTCGGGCAAGTCGACACCTCATCATTCGTGATATCGTTTTTATTATTAGTATTGTTACTGCTGTTCGTGTCGTTGGTGTCATTGGTGTTGTTGTCGTAGTCACTACCATCGTCGTCTTCGTCATTATTATTGTCGTTACTGTTACTGTTACTGTCGTCGTCGTCGTATTCGTCGTCTTCGACTGTCAAGGTATCTCGCCATATCACCATGCAAAGGTGGTCTACTTCAGCCCAAATTGCCCTGATATTGTTCGGGGCTACGATCTACCAATACACGTCCTTGGTGGGGGTAGTAAAAAGCCCCATGCTAAACGCCCGCAACCGTCATCATAATTCGTAATCCGCCGCCCACCCACGCTCACAAAAAGTACTCGTGGTCTCATGATCTCCGCCTCTCTCTAGAGTTGTCACCGGACCCGCCACCACCACCACCACGGGAGAAGGTGTTCCTAAGCCAGTTCAGGGGACCATGGCTGGACCCCGAGTCTTGGCTGTTGTTGCTATCTTGGTTTCTTTCCCAGTTACCGGAAGACGGACTACGCTGCCTAGCTCTGTCAGACTGATGCCGGCGAAGGCTGGAAGGCGAGTGCGAGTCCCGGCGAGAGCGGAAACTCGGCATGCGGTTTGACTCTGAGGGAGCAGGGCGCGGTGGATACTCCGATGGGTTTGCTCCTGTAGCTGCAGCTCCAGATCCGTACAAGAACGGTACATCCCATTCGGTGGCAGCAGATCTGTCAGGCCGCGTGGAGTCGGACGGAACTGGAGGGGGTCCGCCGAAGAACACTGGGCGGGCGGTGAAAGCCGGTGGGAAAGACGGCGGACCCCAATGTCCAGGGATGCCCGGCGGCGCATCGTCCCAGTGTGCGTGTGCGGGGGCTTGGTTGCTGCCAGATGAGCCTGGGGTGGCATCGCTGGCTGTGTTGTTGCCGGGAGTGCGGGCATTGCCGCTGTTGTTGTTGCTACTGGCCTCTTCGATAGGTGTGCGGCAGATAGGGCAGGTGTTGTGCTCCTTCAACCACATCACAACGCATTGGTCGTGGAACCAGTGCTTGCAGGGCAGCACTGTGGCATCGTCGCCCAGGTTGAAATCATCAATGCAGATCGTGCACTCCGCCTTGCCCTCGGGGCCTAGCATCTTCTCGTCGACCTTTTTGCGCTCCAACTTGCTGAGCGCGTCGTCGGTAGCCGGAGGTGCCGCATTTGACTGCGGGTTCTGCTCCATCAGAGTGGAGATGATCCGGTCCAAAGCTTCTTGGGTGTAGACGGCGTCGCCATGGGAGGCGTTCGCGGGGTTGAGCATGTTGAGAATTTCATGAAGAAGTGTAGGCGCTCCACCAGCCGGACGCTGCCCTTGACCAGCCGCGCCTGGGGACGGAGGGCCCGCTCCATTAAGAACGCTGCTAAAGATACTGGGAAGGTGATTAGCATTAGTCCTGATGGACACCATCGTAATTCGAGGCCCATCCGAAGGGTGACCGCGGGGGCTTTGGCGAACATACGATTGGAAGGGGTCGGTTCCGGGGCCGACAGGAGAGCGGGCGCCGCCTGGATGAATATGAATCGGCCCAGTAGCGATTGTGAAGCTCGTGGTACCCCCAGGGCCTCCTCTGTAGTAGGTGCGAACGTTGCCTTGACCTCCGAACAGGCCGCCGCCGCCGCCGAATCCAGCAGGGGGTCGAGTCTCGTCTGGCGGACGAGGAGGCATGCCCATCCCGAAGTCATTGACCATGTCGATGAATCGCCTAATAATTTGATCGCCGTCGCCCGGGTCGGGTGGCTGTCGAGTACTCGGATCGGGTGTCTGGCGAGTATTCGATTCCTGTCCGGGTCTCTGGTGGTCCCATATGGCGCGGTGCAAAAGAAAGCCACTAGGGCCACGGTGCAAGTGTTCCTCAATATCGGCCTCCTCGGGGTCGGAGTCGTCGTCCATGGGGTATCTGTGGCGTTGTGCGCCAGGCGTCTCGTGGAGAGAGGGGCCATCCTCGATCAGTCTGGGGTCATTGTCGGGCGAAACCTGTGAATATGTTATTAAATCATGCCTAAACGGAAGGGACCAGACGGGTTCCGCGAAACGGGAAGGACGGATCGGTAACGTACGATTTCTGTAATATCACTCTCGCACCGAGGGCAATGCAGACCGTGGTCCTCCTTCCACCACTCATGAGAACAGGCGTGACAGAAGACAACTTCCCGACCGGTCGTTGCGTCCAGGTGGCCGCCTCTGGTGGCGTAATCCATCTCCGCCTGGTTGCGCTGGTAGGCAGCTAGGGCAGTCAGTCCAAGGCCTACAGCGAGACCGGCGGCTCTCAGTGCTCGGAACGCCAGTCTGGATGATTTTGGGTGAGCGAAGTTGGGCGAGGCTGTTGGGCGATGTCGTGAGGCGGGCGCTTAAGCTATTGGCGAGGGACTGCCAAGCGCTCGTCTAATCGGATGAAAATGGGTGGCAAGTGAATGTCGTAGGAGGCAAATCTCCGCAACTGCTCCTGCCGTCGTGGGAGAGTGCTGCTGCTGGTGTAGGATGCAAGCTGGCGATGTCAGCCGGAAAAGCGAGAGAGGTCGTTATCGGCGGAGAGCGGATGGCACGGTACGTCGGTGGTACTGCGATGCAGGTAGGATCGGTGGAGGAAATGTGGAAATGGAAAGCCTGCGTTCAGTAATGTCAGAGCCAGCCTTTTGCGTCGGACAGGAGGCGCAGCCAATGAGGTGGAAATGGATATTCGCCCCAGGCTCGTCTTCGGCATATATTCGTCTCGCCCAGCAGCTTGCGTGGTGTGTTGGGGATGGTGGTGGTGGTGGTGTGTAGGACGTACCTCAGCTAAGCCATGCACTGGAGCTGCAGCATATCTCCAACTGCAACGAGAGCAAAGAGTGGTGTTGCTTGACGCGGGGAAGCTGTAGGTGATTGGAGAGAGCGAGATGAGAGAAGCAGAGGAGACGGGGGTTTGCTTGAGATGAAGGTGTGAGTCTTAGGAAGTTTGCCCAAGTTCCGAGCAAACAAAAAAATAAAAAGAGACACCGTCACGTTGGGTGAAAGGTGAGGTGAGCTGGTCGTCGGGGTTCAAAAGAGGAAGGCACGGATCAGGTACCTAAGCACGCTAGGGACGTGACGTTAGTGGTGGGGAGAGCATCATCGGTCGGCAGGGAACCAATTTCCCGTCTTAGTAATCTGCTTGAACCGCAGCCGCGGTGCTGAGAAGCGCTTTTATGCACCTCCACGTCTTTCCCCTTCCACCGGCTTCGGTGTGGCGGTGCGTCACCATTTCCATGGATTGGATCCCGTCACTTCGGTACTGCCACACCTCGCGATTGTCTCGTGCCAGCTAAACATCTTGACGCCACCAAATGTTTATGAATCACAGTTTGACCATCGTTTGTGGCTTTCACGTGCCACAGCAGGATACCGAATACGACGGCGACGGCGACGACGCCGCCAACAGCAACAACAATACTCATAACACCACAGCACTAACGACGACGACAACAGCAACACCAACAACACTGATAACATCAACGGCACCAACGGCACCAACGGCATTAACGATACCAACCGCGCTGACAACACCAACAATACTGACACTCGAGGATGTTGTCGTGCTCTGAACACCTTACTTCTACGTAGTGTAAAGAATGTGTGGCTACGCTTTCAGCGCCCAAAACAGCTCTGAGCCGTCTTGATCTTTCCCGACTGCCTCAAATTGAAGCCACCCGAGTTGGCGTCTTAGCCGGCGACACCTCGTCCATGAGCTTGATGATATCGAACATGCCCGCTCTCAACGCCAAGTCGCGACTGGTCTGTCCGCTCGTGTCTATCTTGTCCGGGTCGGCGCCCGCTTTAACCAAGAGCTTCGCAGCCTGCTCCTTGCGTCTCCAGAGTGCCACGAACAACGGCGGGGAAGAGTAGCGCCCTCCCCTCTTGTTCACGTCGACGTTGTGCTCCGGTCTGAGGATCAGCTCTAGGATCGAAGTCATGTTGAAAGACGCGGCGTAGTAGAGCGGTTGTGTGTTGTGGATGCTGTTGAGATCGACATCGCGCAGCAGGAATTGCACCCAGGCATCAAAGGGCCCGCCGTTTTTCAGCTTCTTCGTTTCGAAAAGGTCGAGAATGAGGTTCTCGTCCTCTTTCTCGAGAGGGAATCGCTCGGAGTGGATCGGCCACATGAAGGTCGCGTATCGAAGCAATGGGTAATTCCTGAAGCGTTCGTCAACCTGTGGCAGTGAGTGCACGGGACCACTGATGAAAGGATCGAGGTTGAGGTAAGTGAGGCATCTGCGCATGATTCTGCGATGGGCTTCGGCCGCGTCGAGGGCAAAGTCTGAGGCGGTGGAAGTACGGATCCAGTCCGACTGGAGGAAAGTCCGAATCGAGTCGTGGGCGAGAGTGACGACGCCTTTGCTGGCGTGAACTAGACCAAGACATATCTGGGGAACAACTGCTGGGTCGTTCAATCGGGAGTCGCCGTCGATATCGGTGTCGCCTTCCTCAATGACCACAGCTTCAGCGAGCTCGACCAAGCGGAGGGGCCGTAGAGAGAAGCACAGCCAAGTGAGGGCTTCTCGGGCGATATCCTTGTCTTGGCCCGGGATGCGGTTGAGGATTCCAGCGTATGTCTCGTTCAGGGTGGAAGGGATATCGCTAAGAACTCGCCGAATGTCTCGACCAGTGCGCAGTGTGCTGATCCGATCCATGCAAAGCTTTGCCCATCGGAATCTGTCCACGAAGTCAATGAGGTCATTTGCAGAGACGTCGTCCTGATGATAACTTACGTTCCACAAGCATCTGCTACAACTCTCGTCCGAATCTCCTCCTTGATCTTGGGACTAAGCACTTGGAAGCCGTGCTCAGTCGAGAATCGATGTTGGACGTACTTCTCAATGTCCAGGTCGACAGATCCCATGTTCATTTGCTTCACATATATTAACGGAGAGGCAAGAGCCGGCTCGCGTGTGCAAGTTAGCAAGACACGAAGATGTCTGTGCCTCTCGCAAAGATTTATCAGAGTCTTGAGGATGACGGCTTCATGGCTAGTTTCGTTCAAGGCGTCGATCATCAGATAGAAGACATCGTAAAGCTCGAGTGCCTTATCCATGAGATCATGGATGTTCCCAATGGACAGATTGTTCTGCGGTATCAACGAATTGCCCGATTGTCTGAGTGGTCGCACATATTGAAGAATCTCGGGCTTCGCTGTTCCTATTTGGGCCAGGATGGAACCAAAGACGTTTGGCACAGCTTGAGACGCAGCATCGTCCAAGGAGCAGCAGTGAAACCCGAGTCCGAGTTTGCTGAATTTTTCCGTGGTGTTGGACTCGATGTGCCCCTGCAGCTTCTCGACAAGGTGAGAGCTGTGAGAGGTGTCAGTAACAGGAACACAAGAGCGGGAGCTCCTTGGCATACTCACAAAAGCACCGTCTTTCCCGAACCCGCTGATTGCATTAGTCGAACGAATGCAATGTGCTGTACGGGTACGTGAATACGGAAACCAACTTACACCGGCCGGTAATCCAAAACACGGGCCATGCGGTCCGACTCCCGCTCTCCCACAGAGCGAACCGGCCGGCATGGATCCACTGCCCGCTTCCCGGCACTCGGTCGACTACCGAGTCGCGCAGCCTGGCTTCACTGTCAACGGGAGAGAGCCACTTCAACAGGCTGTCCGTCTCGGTGAGCATGCGATCAGTCTCTCGAGCCAGGACCTCTTCGTGGAGCATGGCTGTAAGCTTTTGCATTTCGTTCAAGACAGTGGAAGTGGAGTCGAGCGAATCTTTCATCAAGACCATGATGAACCATGTCTTGGCCCTCTCGGCGGCTGCTAGGTATTTCTCGACATCGCCCATGCGAAAAGGCCAGGCAAGGCTCTGGGCGGCGCGACCCAGCTTTGAGGTTTTGGGCTTCCCCAGCTTCTTCTGCATTGCATCCAGGTTCTCCTGGGTCATGGCGAGCACAGATTGGACACTGGTCTCGAGTGAAGCGTACAAGCCCGTTTCGGCCTGAAGATGAAAATGTTCCAGAGCGCCCTTGAGGGCTAGCAGCTCTTGAGTAAGCTTGCGGATGTCATCTTTGGCACCCTTCACGTTGGAAACGAAGGTACAGAGTCGCTCGACAACCTCAGTGATGCAGAGGGCAACCTCTATCACTGTTAGTGCCTCGGCCATGCTCCGCAGAGGAGGGCCGAACACAATCTAGGTACCTAGCATGAGAAGGGGTCAGTGATGGCCGTACTGCTTAGATAGCTGTGACGTCATTGCGTTACCCGTTGCCTGTGTGGGAAGATGAGACGATGGAATTGGGTGTTAATTCGGAGTCTGGAGGCTCAGAATCCCAAGCTTCGTCTCAAAAAGGCCCAGAGGCCTCCTGTGGTTGTCTAGGCACGGGCAAGTGTGGTGTAGGGATGTTGCGAACAAGACATTCAACGGGACGGGAGCCAGATGCAGAGGTCAACCAATTGTGCCGAATGAGCCTAAGTCGAGGGCTCGGCTTCGTGAATGGTGTTGGACTTTGAAGTTGGGTCAGGGTCGGGGTTGGTCCTGGTTAGCGGGGAGAGGATGGCAGAGATTCAGGTTGGCGTAAAGGTGGGGAAATTGCCCTTGTGGATTGAGTTGTGGGCTCCCATCGTGGGGTTTCCAGGTCCTGCCAAACGGCATCCATGGCTGTTGTGGCACGTGCATGGAGTCCTCGCACGATGCCTGCTTCAGTCTTCATGTCAGTCATGTTTCCATAATCCACATTCACACTTGCCCATGCCATCAAACATGGATTTTGGGACACAACGCGGGCGGCCGTAGAGAATGATTCCATCATGAACTGTGATTGGATGGGGTAGTCTGATCATGGTGGTCGGAAGGCGGCAAAAAAGGTTGAATATGTCAAGTTGATTAGACGCCGAGACTCCGAGCCTCTCAGTTGAGACGACAAAACATCTGGAGGGTGATGTTTTGCGACTTGATTGAGAGATGAGTTGAAGAGGCAACCAGAATTCTCATTACGCCTATACTTACAACGCTACGGAGACTGTTATAAACACATCTCTCTCCTTCTCCGTGCCGCGGATTCAACCATCACATCATCACTTTCTAGGTCGTCTTTTAAGGTATCTGCAACCGTTTGTTAGTCACTGCCTGCCCCACCTGTGCCTTCCGCAATTGCCTGTCAAGGGTGCTCCCTCCCTAGCGGCTTGATCCCCATTCGTGCATCGACGGGCCGCGGAGGTATCAAATCGACTTTGAGCTGGAAGGCGCCAATTGTCAAAAATCTTTTCTTTCCCCCTTCCAAATAGGAGCACGCCGGAACGTGCCTAGATGACCTTACTGCTTACTACCATCAGTAGGGCAATTTCCTTTGCTGGTAGAGTCACAATAACATCTTCTAATCTTGATGATAGACAACGTCGTTATCGCTCTCCATTGACGTCTCCCTTTTGTCACCTTGCTGTCACTTACAACATTCCCACGGCCACGGCGTATGCGTACCTTGCCCCGTAGTCGTCCTCTCCACCCAACAAAACACACCACCGGGTCCCCCAGATCGGCCAGTCTTGTTCGGTGTCAATCCGCATCCTTTCCGCGGTCGCAGACCCGACGCGCCGGCCTTGGACAAGTCAGACAACGTTGATTTCTCATCCTGCTTTTGTTCCTCAGCTCTCGCGCCCCAGACCGCGCATATTTCAGCGCCTATTTCAGTTTCTGTGTCGCATCGTTCCACACGCCCAACATCGCCGTGCCGGCGCATTACTTTCCCCCGGGCCTTCTCTCGCTATAAGCCGGCGCAGTTGTCTTCCAGCGACCACAGACACCGCTCAAGCCGGCGCCCTTCCCAGAACAACGCTTGGTTTTCTTGTACGTAATATGCACATATCCCGTTTCATTATGCAATTACACCTCACTACCTCCGACCAGCCCGGGACCAGCTTTGAGTCGTCTCAGTCGCTGTTCCTATTCTCGGTCGACTTTCCCCTCATGAGAACATCTTCTGATCCCATTGTAGGCTTGTCGAAAAATTCTTTCGCAGAAACCCGACGAGAGACGGCCAAGGCAGAGATTCGGACGAAGAAACTGTGCAGCTCAACACTCAAGCTCCTTGAGCAGCAGCCCGGCTTCCTTTTAAACCCGTACCCGTCCACTATCGGCTAAGCCACCTGCCCATCTCTTCGCGTCGTTATCAGACGCTGCGTCAATCTGCATACCCTGCAAGCCCAATCGCCGGTCAGTTCTTTATCTTGACGACAGGGTATCTGTACCTTAAGGACCTTCATCGACAATCCGGCGCCCGCAACGCCCGCGACCTCCGCCTCCGCGCTGTCGCACTCAGGCCCCGAGCCTAGGCCTTCTGCCCTCATCGTTATTGACAAAGGGGAATCGTCATCTCGCAGCCTTTCTTGAGGTAATCTGGTGGGGCTACCTGCTCATCAGCTGCTGGCTCCCCCATTCCCCGGGAACTACCCCCATCAGATTCCCACATCTCCGCGCACTGCATCTGAACTGGACCCAGCATCTCCGGTCATCACTTTGACGCCCTTTTCATTAGTCGACGAAACCAGCGACAATGGACGACGACCTCATGCTCGACACAGCTTCCGCCGACCTGCGCACAAACCCTCCCGCATCTTCCTCTTCCTCTGCACCACAACCAAAGAAGAAATCTCGCAGGGGTGGTGACTCGGCTTCTCAGAAACGACGCTGTGTAAGTACCGCTTGCATCGCATGTCGCAGGAGAAAGTCGAAATGCGACGGCGCCCTACCCAGCTGCGCGGCTTGCGCCAGCGTCTATGGCACCGAGTGTGTCTATGATCCGAACTCAGACCACCGCCGAAAAGGCGTCTACAGGGAAAAGATCGACAGCATGAAGGCTCGCAACTCCACCCTACAGATTCTCATCGAAGCCATCCTCAATGCCAGCGAGGATGAGGTACCCGACATTGTCAAGAAGATTAGGACTTGCGATAGTCTTGACGCCGTTGCGGAGCAAATCTTGAAGCAGGAATCTTTGCTCCAAGAGGCGGAAGAAAATCAACAGAGAGATGAGGAGTACACGACAAACATGCCCTTCGAAGGCGAGAGAGAGCTGGCTCGTAAGATGGGTGAACTGCGCCTCGAGAATGGCTCAGTACGCTTCATCGGCGGCACTTCACATCTCATCTATCTCGGCGACCCGAGCGACGCAAACTCGAACGAGCCAGAGTCGGACTCCAATGCAGCCAATGAGGACCCCATCACCAGCTGGACACAAGTCACCCAGGATAAGGAACTCATCGCCCATGTCCTGAACATGTACTTCAACTGGCACTATACCTATTTCACGACACTCTCTAAAACACTATTCTATCGAGACTTCCTCAAGGGCAGGCACGGGGTACAGCAGGCAAACACCGTTTACTGCTCGCCGCTACTGGTCAACGCCATGTTGGCTCTTGGGTCCCACTTCACGAGTGTGCCGGGGGCCTACGGGACGCCAGGGGACAATCGAACCAAGGGAGACCATTTCTTCGCCGAAGCCAAGCGTCTGATCGTTGAGAACGATGAGTACGAGCGCCCAAAGCTCACGACTGTTCAAGCTCTGGCCCTCATGTCCGTCCGGGAAGCTGGCTGTGGTCGTGAAGCCAAAGGTTGGGTTTATTCTGGTATGGCATTCCGAATGGCTCAGGACCTAGGACTAAACTTCGACGATGGGGGAATGTCGACCGACAAACAGAATTTGGGAGAACATGCCGTAGATGCCAGGAGGATGACCTTTTGGGGCTGCTTCTTATTCGACAAGGCGTGGTCCAACTACCTTGGACGGCTACCACAAATACCGAAAAACTCTTATAACGTCCCGAAGTACGACGTCTTCCCCGCTGAGGATGCCGAAATGTGGGCTCCGTATACGGACACGGGATTTGATCAGACGTGCAAACAGCCGTCAAGGACACGAGCAGTGGGACTGGAACTGATCAAACTCGGCGAGATTAGCAGCGATCTTTTGCTCTTCTTTTATCACCCGAATCACATTGGCCGGTCAAGCGGCAAATCCGTCGAGTTGAAGAAATTGAGCGAGTTGCATCGAAGACTGGAGGACTGGCGCAAGGAATTGCCTAAAGAGCTGGAACCGAAGGAGGGGCAAACGCCGAATGTGATCCTGGTGCAGTAAGTCGTTCAATGAACCCCAAACTGTGTCTTTCTGACCATTTTCAGTATGTTCTTCCACCTTCAGTACATCCATCTCTTCCGGCCCTTCTTGAAGTACTCGCCGGGGGCGTCCCCACTTCCTTCCCACGTCTCGCCCAGACGGATTTGTACAGCCAACGCTGGAGCGATATCCAAACTTATGCGCTTATACAAAAAGACATGGAATTTGCGACAGATTTGCAACATTGCTGTGTACATGATTCACAGCGCCTGCACAATTCACCTCCTCAACTTGCCCGAAAAGACGGCCAAACGAGACATCATTCATGGCGTGAAACATCTCGAAGAAATCGCCGAAGACTGGCCCTGCGCAAGACGGACGTTGAGTATAATCAGCGTGTTGGCTCGGAAATGGAAAGTCGAACTACCCGAGGAAGCGTCTGCCGTGTTGCAACGGACAGATGAGAAATACGGCCACTTCAACACCTCTGACGTGCCCACACCCCAATCACATCCCACGGCCTCGCCATCTCCACCACAGCCCCGAGACTCGCCAAATACGAACAAGCCGGAACAGTATAGTCCGCTCACACAATACGCCCAGAGCCAGTTGAACCAGGATGACCTGACACAGAGCGATATCATCATGGCAAGCGCTTCACTAGCCCAAATCAGCGGCGCAAGACCTCCGACATCGCGGCCACCCGCCACGACCGGTAGCTCCAGCATGAACCTCGGACCTGATACTCTGGGCGGTAGCTGGCCCCCTTCCGGCCTCTCCCAGTCCATGTACCAGCAGCAGCAACAGCAACAACGGCAACAGCAACGGTTTAACGCCATGAACAGCGCCCAGGGAAACAACCTCAACCCTCCGCCGTCCTCCGGGGCGAACACGCGGCAAATATCGCCGGGCCAGGTGTTCCAAGGCCTCGACCAAGACTGGTTCCTGAACGACGGCGCCAAGTGGCACCAGAACTTCGAGGCCTGGAACATGACCGGCGCCGGCATGCCCACCAGCGAACAGATGTTCATGTTCCAAGGCGGCAACGCGCCGATGCCCCCACAGCGGCAGTCGTCAGAGGACGCCTCTAACTCCACCAACTTTGATAATCTGACTTCTCTAGCGACAAACGGGTGGCTTCCGGGGCTTGACTAGTCTCTACATCGATAGCACCTCTGTCCTCGTCTAGTGTGAGACGAGGTAATGAACTCCTTTTCATTGCAGCTTTACGACGACATTCGGTATCCGGAAACCCCATCATTGTTCGAGCACGAGATTTGTTAAGAGGGGTGTATATAGTCTACATATATCTGTATCTGTGTGTCATACCCTGCACAATGCAAGCGAGGTATTCGCTCTGGCGGAGATGTAGTCACGACTGGGGGATAGTATTTATCGCGACGATCTACCGGGCATGTATGTACGTCCGTTACTGAACACAAAACACACTTTTGAATTACTCCGTGTTCGACTTGCGAGTATTGTCTCTCAGGTATTTTCCGGGGTGGAAGGGGAAGCTGGGGGTGGATGCATGGATGAGACATAAATCTGCTTCTCACGGCCGGCATTAAGTCAGGTGTGCGCCCAACACAGTACCATTCGACTTGTCACTCCCAAACGTCGCTATATACATGACTATTTACATGAGGTTCCAGGTCCGTCCGTTCAGAGTCATCCATCGTCCATACACCGTCACAAACAAGAACTAAAGGGCACTCCGTGCACTCAACTCCTTCTGGTATGACCAAAACCCCCGAAAAAGGATATCGTTTCTCAAAGAATTCGAAGCAGAAAGTCCCAATCCCCCACCAAAGTTCACCTACTCCACCGCAGAATGTTGTCAATCCTTTTTGTGATCCGCCCCGCCGCGCACCGTGAGAGCTTCCCAAATATCGAGGAGCCATGGCCCCCTCCCTGCCTTTTCCGTATCCCGTATCCCTTCGTTACGCTGTCATCTCGAATGCAAACATCACTATCCCGTACGTGACCCAACGCTGACCCAACTGATGCTCGTCGGGATGCCTCAGAGAGCCAGACCCGTGCCGTCCCCGGTCCACCGGTACAGGGCGAGCAGCTCCCGGCGGCGCTGGTGTTGCTCGTTAAGGTCCTCGGGCACGCGGCCGCGGACCTGAGCCAGCGCGCTTCGCATGACCTTGCTAAAGTTGCGCTGGGGCAGGAAAAGTCAGTTCTGCGTGTTTTGAACAAAAAACGTGTACCTCGGTCGACTTACCTGATACTCCGTGTTGAGCGTCACAACACAAGCCTCATGGGCGCGAACGATGGTCTCGCATGCCTTGACGACGCTGGGGGACGCCTCGAGCTGGAGCTTGTCGGCGATGAGGAGCAGCAGGAACGATCCCTGCAGCAGATAGATGCCGAAGAAGAACGGCATGAACTCCAAGCCCGGGTCGAACTCGAGGATGTTGCTGATGGCTTCGGCGGCGGACACGGCGTGGCCGGTGGCGGTGATGAAACCCTGCGAGGAGATCCAGAGGTCGTTGTCGTCGATCAGGTTGATGGGGTCCCATTTGCCGGCCAGGAGGATGTGCAAGACGTGCATGACGTGCGTGCCGTAGGCCATGACGATCTTGGTCTGGATATCGCTCTCCGTCATGCGGTTCGAGGCGTTAGTGTGCACCGAGTGCACCGACGGGGTTCCGACGTCGGAAATGGGGCCGTGTTCTCCATTCTCGGGGTGCTCGCTCTTGTCGTCCATGCTGGCGATGTGTTTGGCGAGGTGTTGCTGTTCGAATCGTTTGAGGCTTTGTTCGTACGCTTCGAGATGGCGAGTGATTTCGCTGGCTTGGTCGTCCCATTCGCGCGCAAGACGGAACCCGACGCCAAATCGAGGGTGGTTACGCGCATGATGTAAGTCGACAATCTCGCCCAGTATGGTCATGAGTGGTAAGAAGTAGCCAAAGATGCTGTGTCCTGTGCATTCGAAGTGAGGGCCACGAACACGGCCTGTCTGACCAGAGCCGTCTCCGAGACTAGGGTCTGTAGTGGGATCAGTTTGGCGGAAATCGCCGTTCTGCCATGCTGTATCGTCCATCGGTTGTAGAAGACCGGCGCATTCGAGATCGAGTAAGAATAGGGGCCTGTTGTAGCAGAGAGCCAAGTGGCGATCGACGATATATGTGAGCCACCATATGCGGCGGCGTTCTTCGCGTTCCTCCTCCATGATGGCACTGGGGTGGCCGTTACCGCCCAGAGCATCCTCAGACTCGCCATCGCCATCTGCGTCGTGGTTCTGACTCATGGACGCTGGCGTCGGAGGAAGCTCGCGACCAAGCTTGAGCTCCCGGGCGAGCGACCATGCTGCATTCCACCACCGGAGACTTGCGCCTTTGTATTCACTCGCAGAAACCACGGTTGCGAGGTGGATGTACGTGATGACATCGTCTAGAGTACCTGCAGCGCCGAAAGGTCCAGACTCTCCAGTCAAAGCATCCATGCTGATGGATCCGGGGAGTGCAACTCCTAGTCCGCCGAGGGCGACACCATCGATGACGGGACTTGTCACAGGGGAGGTGTCTCCAGAAGGTGTGTGGATTAGTGGCTTAAGCAAGCTCACAGTCAGCTCCAGTAACTTCTGACAGATTTTACCTCGTGCTGATGGGACACTGGTCAAAAACGGTGCGTCGCTGGTTTGGGCTGCAACCCATAGAATGCTGGCCAACAGGGCGGGTTGGCATAGCCTCGGCTTGGTCGGGTGGAGGAACGACCTCTTTCGGAACACGAATCCCAAGACGTATGGTGACATTGGATGCATTTGTGCCGAGGATGATGACGCGAAGTAGAGGTCGATGAGGTCGCACGCCAGCGAGATTGGAATCAAGTTGCCGAGGTGCGGAAGAAGAGGCCGAAGAACTGGGTATCTTAGCTGTTGGGCTGAATGAGCATAGTTATTTGGCGGCATATGTGTTGGATATTGCGTCGACGGAGACGACATTGAGATCCACTCTGGAGAAGCTGCCTCGCCCCCCAAGGGATAGGCACTAATAGGGCTCGCAGCAATGCGAAATGGTGCGCCATTCGCGTAGGCCGTCGGGCTTTGGGTTTGGATGGCGTATGGGATATCGGGATACGCGGACATATTTCCTTGACTCGGACCGTATGCAGTATGTGCGGCACCAGCCATCATGTGTGCACCCAGGCCTTGTCGGTCGAAGCCTCCGTGAACACCTCCGTATCCGTTGAGATCTAGTGTCGTTGGGTTTTCCATATGATCCCTATCCATGTGATGTCCGGCCAGATGAGTCTGGTGGCCAGCTATATCACCAAGACTCTCGAGTGAGCCTGTCCGCTGGCTTCGCTGCATAGTGTCTTCGTCAAGGTCGTCGATAGTCTTTCCGCCATGGCTTTGTTGGAGATCGCTTTCAAGAGACTGGCCATTTTTCCCGAGAGAATCGGGCTGTTCTGAGGAATGGCCGTTTTCTTCAGTTGGCGACTTTGGTACTTGGCCAGATCCTGCAGCTGCCGCCGCTTGCGCGGCAAGGTCTTTTCGAGAAGCCTTGCCTCTCTTCTTTCTTTCTCGGACATATTCGCAACCCAGCCCAAACTCTGATGCCGGACGTCAGTGACCGGCGCATAATCTACTCGCAGTCGCGTAACCAAAGCTTACCTATACAATGAGCACATGGGTGTTGCCCGTCGCATTTTGTGCGAAGCTGGTTACATTGATCGCATGCTCGACTGATTCTTCTCCGGATAGGCCCTGACGTGCTCGGCGTCCTAGCCGCAGGTCCATATGGGTGCTGGCGGTGTTTTGGTTGAGGCCCTGTGCGAGCAATATGGGGATTGTGTACTCCAACATGTTGTTGTAACTGTTGAAGCGCATAATGGGAGCTCGGTGCGAGGGAGTCCATCCCAGAAGGATGGGGGTGGTTGTTGGGCACATGAGTGTTAGAGAAAAGAGTGCTGGATGGCATGCCATGGTATGGCGAGAATCGATGCAGCGGATTGGACAACATCCTGTCTTCCTCTCGTTGGGACCAAGCCCGTTGATGGTGGTGTAGTGGCTGAATTTTGAACGAGTTGTTGTGATATTTCTTGGGCTAGGTATTGTCGTTCATGTATATCGTAGTTGAGCTTTGTGTAAAAGGTGTGAAGGTCAAGTTTGGCTTCGAGATTTGAAGAGTTCGAGGCCGACAGAGGTCTAGACAATATCGTCCGACCGAGTAGGGGTCAATGAATGACATATATCAGCGTCCACAGTTGCAGCGGACGTCTTAATGCTGCTTTGCCAGTCCTGTTTGGTCCAGTCAGCGGCACTTGAACGAAACAAGACTTCCAAGTGCGTCAAGGGGCGAAAACGAGGAGTGTAGCGGGCATTGGATAGAGTGGTATGGCCATAATAAGGGGCGTGACAACCAAAGAAGATCGGTACCACCGTAACAACACGGCACAGCTAGCATCCCGCATTGGCAATGGCGGGGTTGATGCGCGCCAGGCCGAGTTGCCAGGACGGGAGAGGTGGCAGGGGGGGTGTGAAAGAGGCCGCATGATGATGGAAAGAATTTGGTAAGGCTTCGGAGCTTGAGAGAGACAGAGCTACTCACCTTGTCACCTTACACCTGGTGTGCCTCACCAGCCTGTGTGTCCATACGATACTCGGGATTTCTTGTCTGTCCGGTTACTTGCCGGTCGATTCGCTTTACTGCTCCGAGGCTGTGAAGAGCTGGAAGGCGACGACTGGATGTTGAGTTCGATTTACTGTGCCGTTTGAGAGGCTGTTTCTAGTCCAATTGTATTGTAGGCCTTGCTCTGTTGTCTTTGGCGTCTTTTGCTTTCTCTTTATATCAACGATCATTCGGCGTATTGACTGATACGTATATAGTAGAAGCGTTCGTCAGAGGACTACCGCAGTCCTCGAATTGGTGAGCTTAGCAGATCCGCTTTCTGCTGAGCAGTGTGGTCATACACTCAGGTGAACAGCGCGATGCGCACGGTTAAGCAGTCAAGGTGATGATCGAGCGTCGTGTCTTGATATGTACGTATAGATGAGAAGTGGAAAGAAGAAGGGTTATTTGGCAAGGCATCTACGTCCAGACGGCGCGTCCGGTTCTCGAAGGGGGGAAGAAGCGAAATGGTCACATTCTGGTTCCTCGGGTTTAGCTGTTATATGGGGCAGGGTTGCAGTGAGGGGAGCAGGGGTCCAGCTCTCGATTGGAGATGGGAAGGTGAGGAGTAACGAACAACAGGCGAGGGAAAACTGGCGACGAGCGGCCATTCACGGATGGTGGGTGGACCACAACGGCGTTGTGGAGGAGCGACAGGGCCACATGCTCAAAGCTGCTGCGCCGGTCTAGACCGAAAGACATCAACCCCAGGACGATCTTGTCAAGCTTCGTTGGTCCAATTGAGATGTGCTGCCAAAGTTGGTCACAATCTGGTTGATCCTCAGACGAGCAGTAGGTGAGCTTGACCGGTGAGCTTGACGAACTGGTAGGCAGGCCCAGAACAGACGAAGCCGACGACACGGCAGCGATGTAGCGGTGACAGACGATGACGGACGGGACAGCTGTCATGCCATCAAACCTTTTCCCACACTCCGGGACGGGCTCTCCACTGTGTTCCTCTTGTCTCTCGTCCTCTCCGACGTTCTCCGCTCCTCGGGATAATCCAGAGGTTACGATGCTTGTAGCTTGGGTAGGACATGGCGAGGGCCGAGGATCAAAGGTAGCGTGGTAACGTGGTGTTGTGTGTAGGGGTGGCGCGGTACCTTTGGGGCTTGAGATGGGGAATCATCTTTTCAATTCTCGGTTCTCCAGTCTTCAAGGCTCATCTCCAGTCCTCCAGACCTCCACTCAGCGCGGCCCCAAGTGGGATGGGGGCATCCTGGCATCGATGGACTGTGCCATCCCAGCCAATAGTATCATTCGACTTGGCGGGAAGGCCTTGGCTTGTTCTCCTTCGGTCTGAGTGCCGCCGAAGACACATTACCGTGGTTCGGATGCATGACCGTCTTGCCATTCTCTTTCGTCCGGTGCCCGGTGTCGTTGGTTATTTGCAGCGATGACCATGCAGCATCCTCCTGGTGTAAGACTCTGCATCGGCCAGCGCCCGCCAGAATGGGCGACGTATTCGTCCTATAGCCAATGACTGTCTATAATGTGGTCGTCAGGATTTGTCTTTCTCTTCGTCTCACCAGGGTCTGGCCGCTATGGAACAACGGCGAGCGTCAACTTTTCGCTTCGTCTCTCTCCAGACACTGGAGGAAGCAGCGGAGAAGAGCTTCCTCTACAACCCTCGAGGCCGCACCTGACTGGGATGGCGTCGCGCTCGGTCGTGATGAAATACTGCTTCAAATTCTTTGCGTTGAAGGCGTTCGAAGACAATTTTCAGCTCGTCTGATGTGACTTCTGGAAGCTCGCCGAAGGATATGGCCATCATCCCTGGTGGTGTGGTGTGGACAGCGGCGAAAAGATGGGGGCAGTTTGCTCGAAGGCCCCTGCAACAACCCCGGATTTGTGCCACCTAACTCAATCGTGGGTAAGGGGGCCAAGACCCAAGGACGCGGAGACGAACTCACTTTGGTAGTTGACGAGTGGCCAAATTTTCGCTCCTCATGTAATGACGATGGCCTTTGGTCCGGCCTCGTCTTTGACGCTGAATGAAGCGAACCTATCGAAGACTGGCGGATGGCTTGCCGCCTACCGCTTTGGGCGTATGTATCATGGCTAAGGGAAGCGTCCCTGTGAAGTAGTAGCGAGCGTCAGGGCGTTAGGATGCAGCTGCGTACTCCAATCTGTGCTCTCCAGGTTCTGCTGCAGGTGTTGTGAGTCTGCCGGTACATGGGAGTACAAGTTCGACGAACGATGCGGAGGCAGGGGCGGCGGTACGGTCGAGAATGCGGAGAGAAGCCATGTCGAATCCGGTGGTGAGGTTGTGCTGGGATGGAGATGATGGAACGGCTCGGTGTGATGTCCAGGTTGATCTTGGAAAGATTTTGGGAGGCGGCAGGTCATTTCGGTTCTTGTGAAGTACCAGACTGACCGCTGCAGGAACCGCCGGGTGCCATCAGGGTCTTCCTTCCTCCTTTTCCAGTCCAATGAATTCTGGCAGTTGCACCACCGGAGAACAGAAGGAAGGTGCATCCCTCGCCTCGAAGGCACTCCCATGTCGTCCCAACCTCAGACAATCTTATTTACTTCCCTCACACATCAGCATCCAGCATCACGGGATCACAGTCAGGATCACCGTCATCAGCACTGCAACCACTCAGCTCCGGTTCCGCAGATGACTGCCGGCGACACTGGACCTGGTGTAGCCACCATCATGCTCTCAGCCGCTCTAGAGACCAAAAGCTAGAGCCCGCTAATGTCTGCAAGCTCTCTGATCAAACCAGATGGTGTTGACTTCATTTCGCTCGAACCAGCTGTAAGGGGCACGCCGCCTCAGGGCCATAAAGATCGCTCTGCACGATCCTTGGATCCCTGGAGATGGGATGGCCTTGACTCTTCGATGACCGTTGGCCTGTCCGTACAAAGCCCCTATCGATATCCGGATGCCAAAGCAAGTCTCGACAAGCTGACAAGCTTTCGTGCTGGGCGAGGATATGAAGCCAAGCCGGAGCAGGAAGAGTCTTCCCAAATACGCAGCAGGTATCGACAGGTATCATCAGCCAGACTTCCTCGATTCGCCCGCGTCGTGAGTGTTCTCCCGTCCAAACTACAGCCCGTTGCAACCTCACCAACACCCAATTGATTCAGGTGCCTCGACCTCGACTCTGGAGAAGCGGTCTTTCTCATCCGGCCCCCTCAGCGCTCTCCAACTCTTCTCCGCACATGCGGAGCAACGGAAGTCTCTCCTCATCTCATACATGCACACACATGCAGCTCGTCCTCGCTCGTCAACTCATCCTGGATTCCTCCACACACCACCAAAAGTTTCACTCGGTCTTTTCCGAAAACTATGCGGTAGACCAGCATCGCGTATCGTGTTTGCAGCAACCTCACAGAATCGTTGCGACACGCGCCGTCCGTACCGCTTGTGGCTTCCAAAGTCGAAGCTCGTGTGCCCATCGAAAAGCCCCTGTCAAAATGGAGAATTAAAGTCTCTCTCTCTCTCCTCGATCGGCCTGAATCATTACCAAACTGCACGGATTGAAGGAGCTAGTCCATCAAGTGCGGGTGGGCCTTCCAGAGAGAACTTTTGCAAGGGGCATCTCCAGCCTCCGGCTTTCGACACCATTGCAGGTGGCACAGAGACATCCGTCTACAC